TGGATGTGGTGAAAGACAGACTAGTTATCTGGGGAAGCCAAAACACTGATGGGATTGGCTGCAAATGTACAGAAAATGTGGAGTGCTAGCCACCGTAAGAAAAAGGAAGGTCGACAGGACCGGAAAAGTAGCAGCTACACTGCACAATGAAATATGCCTATGGCACAGGGGTGTACATTCTTGTACACACACACACACACACACACACACACACACACACACACACACACACAACCCCTCCCTGGGATTCTAATCTCCAGACGTCAGGAACACTTCAGACCCAATCCCCACATATACCCCAATAGTAGTGGATGCTCTGTCTCCAAAGTAACCAACCACCCAACCTGCAAAACCCTCCATCATCCCCAAAGAATGCAGTCCTGGAGGCCCCTCCTTGATGACCTCCAGTCCCAGCAACACTAGACAAACTCCCCTTAAACCTCCACATCTTCCAGGCAGTGTAACAACAAGGTTGTACAACTGTACAATCTCACTAAATCTGCACACTAGCTTAAAAGCTGTACAACTGGTTTAATCTCATTAAATCTGCATCATAGCTTAAAATGTTATAAAGTATCTGCAGTGTTTTTAAAGAGTGATTTCATATAAAATTCTAAAAGCATGGCTCCTTTAAAAACACTGGACTTTTAACACTACACACATTTTCATGTTTTATTCAAGTACTTTTATGTTTTCACTGTTTCTAGCTGATATGTATTTTGACATAATGATTTTTTTTTTTTTTTTTTGGTCTCACATAGCTAGCCCACTGGATTTTTCTTCCACTAAATCCAGTTTCTCATCTCCAGTCTCATTGTTAAGTCCCCAAGTAACATTAGCTATTTAAAACCTGAGACTCCAGAGCTAGCTAGCAGGAAACAAAACTCCTGGTTAGCTTCAGGTAGAAAAACCTATAACCAGAACCACAGGTTTCCCCGGGGAGGAGCTGCACTACTGCACCCAGCCCCCAGGCTGCTAAGGACAGTCCTGGAGTAAAGACAAGGTCACCTCGGCCAGCAGGACTGCTGGTCATCCTAATTGCAACTCACCAGCCCCTAAACAGACAGAAAGCTGGTCTTTGTCCCTTGTCTCATGGTATAACGTGTACCCTTGGTTCACCTCTCACAATCAATGCTGGCCCTGAAGGAGCAGCTGCCTGCTGCATGCCAGTCAGCTGCACAGGAAGCCCCACATGCACACAACACATCCTGCTCCACAATGACTCCCGACTTCCCCCTTGCCATTCCACTGTCACTGGCCTTGTTGAGTCCTGTACTGTCCCTTAGACTGTGATGTTTTAACACCCTCCTCCAACTCATCCTTGCACTCTCCCCAGGTAGCCTTAGAGCAGTGGTTCTCAATCTGTGGGTCTCCATCCCTTAGGAGGTTGAACAACCCTTTCACAGGGGTCTCATATCAAATAATTACATTACAATCCCTAACAGTAGCAAATTATAGTTATGAGGAGCAACAAAAATAATTTTATGGTTAGGGTCACAACACAGGGAACTGTATTAGAGGGCTGCAGCACTGGCTTAGAGGTTCCCCCACAACCCACAGAAAGAAGTCCTAGCTCTACAAAGTGGCGTTCAAGCACCCCTAATTTCCAGCTTCTTTTCCCTTATTCCTACCATCTCCACTGGTCTTTCCTCAGTATCACTCCATTCACTCTTCAAGGCCATGCCGCTCCATCTATCTGGGAGGCCTATTAAGCTGCAAACATCCTTCACCAGTTCTAAGCAGCAGCTGGAAACTGTTCCCAGTCTCTAGATCAATGCTATCCACTGCCACAGCTTCTAGCCACATAAGGCTATTTGAGTACATGAATGATGGTGATGGCCTGTCCAAATATGTTTGTATGTGTGTGTATATATATATATTTATATATATGTATAGAATGTTCACAGGATTTGAAGGACTTAGTAATACCCCCAAAGTACCTTAATTTTCTATACTACTTTCACATTAAAATGGTATAGATATTAAGTAAAAATGTGTTAGGTGGATACAATGGAATAAAAATGTATTAACTATACCATTTTAAGACAGTTGGCTTACCTGCTAGAAAAATTAAACTTACATTGAATATCCAGAGTACAGGGCTACTCTGTATTGCTATGAGTCTTCACTTATGTTTTCATTTCTTTAGTCAGCAAACACAATCCCTGACTTGAAGCTCTGTCCAGTGTGGGGAATAGGGGTGGGGGGCTTCATTCCAGCTATGGCTTGCAAACATGTAGCAAGTATAAATGACTGTTTAATGCTGACTACTCAAGACAAATGCTCAACACTAACACCGTCCTTTGTGCTCCTTCTTCCCCCTCAGGTCCTCCCTAAGATGACATCACATGTGGTAAATGAGATTGATAACATACTGCGCAACAAGCCCTACAGCAAAAAGGACTATAGATCATAAGGCAATGCATGAGCCCCAGAATCTGCATGGGTAAAATCATGGTGGGTAGGCAGTGCAGAATGACCTTACTAGACACTCTTTCAATCACTTAGCAGCTTGCTGCTCAACCTCTAGTGTCCCCGGATTCTCTGAGGTTTCTGCTGTTGCTACCACTGTGCACCCTGAATTCTGAACACGTGAAAATTCACAACCCAGAAAAATCCATTCTATTTTCTTATCTTGGACCGGTCCCTATCCTTGCACTGCTCTGTGCACCTCATGCTTCTGCAATGGAGAGAATATTGGGATAAGGGAATCTATTCTCTTCAGACATTCATAACTTAAAGAAGGCTGTACATATATATTTTTGTTTCAAAAGAGCAAAACTCACAGAACAGAAACCGCGTGAGCTGCATAGGAAACAGGATATCCTCGCTCTTATAGTCTTCCTTGGGAGAACAAACAGAACTAATTTACTTATTTTTTTCATATTTCATATTCACATTAGCAAGTTTTAAGTTCCCTAGCTACCATTCAACACTAAAATTTCTAGGTATTTGCTTTCACTATCTTTGAAGTTATTTGTTGTGCTTGACCCTGTACAATTTATCTGGAGTACCCGTTAGGATTCTAACATGTCTATTTGCATATAGAGGCATAAAAGTATGAATACCCCAATCTTTACTAGATATATAATGGCTAATTTATAAAAGGGTTACAATGCTATGGAAACAGCTTTGAATAAAATGTTGTGTTCATTTTTTACAATTTATTAACGCCTGCATATACTTTCAATTGCTTGTAGGCACAATTTCTGCAAGTTTAAATATCTGAGCTTTAAAAATACACACATGCTCAGTTTTTTAATTAAACCTATAAATACCCAGAAAGGCAAGTGTTCGGTTTACCAGTGGGACATTATAATATAATGCTTGGTATTTTCTGAAGAGTCATTAACATGAAAACAAAGCATAGGCAATGTGAAAAAAAAAAAAGTCATTCCTCAGCATATGCTGGATGAATTCACTTGCCCAAAAAGCAAAATATTCAAAAAGCTCCTGATTCTAATTGTATCACAAACTACACTGTATGCATGAGAGCTCTTTGCATGGAATAAAGGGGCTTAGCTTTGTGCTCAGAATCTGAGATACACCCGACCCTGCCTCTACTACTTCACCTCACTGTATCCCACTTGTGAAAAATTGTAAGACTATACTGTGCGGATATCTGCAAATAAGGAGAAAATACAGGGTGTGTTTCTTTCTTTTCTGTAAAGGTGGGGTCATTTTCTAACTCTTTTGTCCATCTGTAGATGGACATAACTACTTTTATCTAGTCAGCAAGCCACACTTTAAGATTTACACAAGAAATATGTGAACTTAAAGTAATTTTCAGATATGTATCACATGGTTAAGTTCTAAATCTTAAACAGTGAAAGATACCAACAAACACATGATGGTTACTACCTAGGGTTTACTAGGCAGTTTGGAAGTTCTGCCCATGAGTATCTGACTGATGATGGAGATTACTTAACTTTCCAGCTATTTATTGTAAATCTAATCCACTGAACTACTGTGTGTGTGAGTGAGTGAAGTGCTGTCTAAAGGAAAATCAACTCCTTTGCTTAGAGTAATAAAGGCATCTGTGCAATTCCATAATAGATCTTCTGGGTCTTTCATTATAAAGCTTAAGACACATACATTCTCTTGTATATAAAATACAAAATGTCACCACGAAACAGTAACCACCTAAATAAATGACATCTGTGGCTACACTGCACTGAAGGCTTAACGGAAGTCACAGGGACCAAAACAGGCTGAAGCAAGGAGGGGTGGTACACACCTTACTCCCAGTTCTGGGGAGGCAGAGGAAGAAGGATCGAGTTCAGCTTAAGATCTCAGCCACCCCGTTCCCACAAAAAGAGGGGGAGGGGAGGGAGAGGGGAGGGAGAGAAAGAGGGAGGGAGAGGAAGAGAAAGAAAGAGACTGAGCTTTGCATTGCAAGCCCTGAGTGCCGGCACATGCACACCTCTAATAGCACTTAAGAAACTACGGCAGGAGGATCTTAAGTTTCTGGCCAGCTTGGACTGCACTTAGAAAACAACTCCAAAAACTTTTGCAGACTTGTTTTTCCTTTTCAACGCATGTGTGCATTTCCATGTGCATACACAATCAGAAATGCACCCGTGTGCATGCGCACGTGCGCGCGCGCACACACACACACACACACACAAATAAAATTAAAATTAAAAAAAAATTAAAGACCCCACCAAACTCCTATGAACTACCCTGTTTGGGACTCTAAAAAAGACTGGAAATAAACTTGGACTGCCCCCAAGAGATATACTGGTATTCTCCACACATGCGCATGTGTACATACAAATCCTTCCTTAGTGTCCCCAGGAACTGCAATGCCTGGTAGGCAAAGAAGCCACGTGAGCAGGAGGGCATAGTAGGTCCCTTTAACTGTGTTGTGCCTGTCACTACCCCACAGACAAGTGGGCAGTAACTTCAACAGTGCATTTACATGTGTAGGAAAGATGGTTAATATAAAACATGTAATAAAGATACTCACATGGTTCACATAAAGAATTGCAGAAAAAACACATTTTTAAAAACAAAGTTTAATCATACTTGTTAAAAACAAGACTTTTTGTAAGAATGTTGAGTATAAATTCAACTTCCATTATTTCAATTAACTTCAAATCCTTTTTCAAATTATCCTTCCCAAGTTAAAACAATATACCAAACAGGGCAAGGTGTAAATTTAGATACAAGACTACTATTAAGTTATGAATGAGTAAATCAAGGAATAAAAATGCTTAACACTAAGATTCTACCTATCTCAGAAAAAGAAAGCAAGCACTCTGAGTGTCCTGTTTTACTGGTGTTACATATGGGTCCTTTCAAGATAAAAACTCTGCCAGGATTTTACTGTCTCTGTATGTCTTACTGAGCACGTCATAATTCTATTTGCCACATTCGGTATGGAGAAGAGATTAGGGGACAGGGTCCATATTTCTAAGTGTAAAGGACTGATACATTAAATCCTTAAAGGGAGCTGGTGATCTGGCTACATGACTTCATACACAGAAATTTATCTGGTAGTATAGAGTTAGAGGACATTTTGAGAATTAAAAACAGACAGCTGTAGGAAACACTCAAGACAGAAAAACACTACACAATTACTCTTCCAGCAAATTTTTGGTTACTAATTCAAGAGAATTAAAAATTTGAAGCTGGCACCTCTATTTCACCATTCCTGAGCTGCTAACAATATTGTCAAATAATGGTGGTAACTTTCTCCCCATCTACACAGGCACTGCCACCTAGTGGCCAGTTTACAACAGCCTCTTAGAAGGTGCTTGGCCCAGCTCCAGTAACAATTTGACGGTGTATCCAATTATTTTATTAGATAAACACACTGGTACACAAACTTTACCAGCCAAATACTGATTAAAACAGAAGAACAAAACACCCTACCTCATGTGTGTTACCTAAATGTACTTTGCATTGAATCTCCTCTCATTTTCCTACTCATTCCACATTTCCTGGTAATGGCACTCAGGTAACAATGTACCACAGAAAAGAACTGAACACTTCCAGGAGGGTGATAAAATGATTTTCAACACAATGAGAAGTCAGGGGACCGTACAAAGGCACTCCTCCCATCTTCCCTAAGTTCTTAATGCAGACCACTGAAACTTCACCTACCAGCACACAAACAGCTCAACTCGTGGTGAACACATCTTTAAACTCAGAAACAGTATCATGCGTTCCTCCGAAGTTTACAAGTAGAAACTAAATACTAGGAGTATTTCCCTCGGAGGTGCCATTCTAGGAGTCCTGGGTGTGGTGCACAGTGAACAGGACGAGGAAGTCAGTGATCCTAAGTGGGAAGTCATCTAAATCTAGACGTTATGGTACACACACACAGAATCTGCACACATGGGGTGGGCGGGGCATGACGTGAGGCCGCTCTTCGCTAACCCCCAGACAAGTGTGATCAGCATTTGCTCACAAACGACAAGAACCCTGGGCAAAAGGGGACAGACTTATTCAAGCCCTCCTAGAAAAATGCTGACAACCCTTTCAAACCACTGTAAATTCCTTGGAGAGTTCACTGAATTCCAGGGCTAAGTTCACAAAACATTCTTCTGGTCTCTCATGTGTCAATAATCAGGAAAGAAGTGTTTTCTCACTTAATATTCTGCCTGTGGTGCTGAGAGCCTGGTCACAGAAAACAATGATTCCAGTGACTTCACACATCAAACCAATATGGCAGGGTCAAGCTGACCTCCCTGGCCGCCCAAGGCCAAAGCCATACAGCCGAACAGTGTGTGCTTTAGTTTCACAGGCCAACACTCATAGGCTGGGGACTATTTTTAGGTTACTACCTTGGCTGCCTTTCTTTTAAAAAAAAAAAAAAAGTTGCAAGTTTCTCTCCCTCAAAGTGAAGAGGCCATGTTTTTGAGTTATTATAAATTACAAACTCAGAGACTTCTGTTTAATCCCTTGGGAAGAAGATTCACTGAGATTTACAGTCAAAAGTTGTAATATTGTGCTTGGAACACAGAGAACCAGTTATTAACTTCTTCCTCCTATTATAAATAATAACAGCTCAGTCCAGGTTACCATGACCTCTGACAGATGTAGGAAACAAGTTATTTTCTCCTCTTGTGATTAGAGCACATTGCAAGACTTCTTGCCTTTTAATAAATGTCCTGGTACTCTGAGTTTCCCTTTCAATTCAATTTAATTTCAACAATCTGTCAAAAGAGCCAATAAACAAACACTAAATTACATTCTATTGCATTTTTAAACCCTCCAACTCCAGACTATAAAAACATCTTGTGTGTCTCCCAACCTGGCCACCCTGATACTTTTCCATATAGCACAGGCCACACATAGATACAAAGGCAGGGGGCCAAGCTACACGGTCTACTTGGAGCCAGTAGAGAGCAAGGCGATGAGTCCAGAGGAAGCACTTATGGACAAAATGTAGTTCCTGCAAGAATATGTTAAGGAAAAAGTGAGATCCCAAAATTAGTTTTTCAACAATCAAAGAGCTTTTCCTTATTGAAACAAGTATGTGCATGTAGTTTCACTGTCTGGAAACGAAATTTACAATATGGAAGGCTATAAAACATGACAAAATACCCACAAGCAATGTGTTTCAATATTAAAAAAGACATTTGAGCCGGGCGGTGGTGGCGCACGCCTTTAACCCCAGCACTCGGGAGGCAGAGCCAGGCGGATCTCTGTGAGTTGGAGGCCAGCCTGGGCTACCAAGTGAGTCCCAGGAAAGGCGCAAAACTACACAGAGAAACCCTGTCTCGAAAAACCAAAAAAAAAAAAAAAAAAAGACATTTGAGTCAAACCTAGAAAGAAATAACAATCACAAAAAACACATCTTAGTTCCACTTAAACCCTCACAAAAAGAGCTAGTCTGAGCACATCAGACACAAAATAGTAAAGGGGAAAATTCTCATGTCAGAGTCCTGCTACAGTTGGCCTATAAGACAAGGAGGTTCGGGAAGTTCATGGCTATTTACAACCTCTTTAAGCAAACCATTCTGGGGCCATTCTGGCAAGACCTACCAGTATTCCCAAAAGACGTGAGTTGGAAGGTGTCTGATGTTTTATTACACCATAACCTCTGATTGTTAAAAGTCTGGCTGCATCTTCCTGGATAACACCTTTAATAAAAAAATTCCTTCAATAAAAGAAAAATGACTGTTGGCCAAAGCTCACTTTAAAAGCATCTTGAAATGTACCTACCATATGCAAGTACCCTGGCCATCCACCTAACCAGCAGATGTGCGTAATGGAACTAGTGAAGATAGGACACTGACTGATTTTGACTCCTTTTAGACAGGTAAGTGGACGAAGTCATACATACAATATAAGACTGCTTTATAACACTTGCCACTTACCATAAAACTAACTTATAGACTTAAAAAACACTAAATCAAGTCAGAAACTTTTAAGTTCTAAGTCCATAGACACCTGCCTAAAGTTAGTACTATTTAACTGACTCTGAGAAGTTTTTGTTTCCACTAACATACCAGATGGCTTAAAAATAAAACAAGCTACTGTTTATAGCTTCTGAAAACTTTTAAAAGATACACCGTGGGGTTGAAGTTCTTCAGTATAAAGAAGGAAGCAACAATGACCAAAACCAGGAACAGAGTGTTGTTATAGAAGATGGAAAATGTTGTGGCTTCATAATCGGCAACTTCATTCTTCTTCCACAAGATTCTACAGATACAAAAACAGGTCAAACAAGTTTATAAATGTGACCAAAAACTTTAAATACCAAATGGTTCTCATTTATTACAAGACAAACTTTTCCTTGTGTTCAAGGCTGAAATGCATTTGCAGTATTAAATTTAGAGCACATTATCTCCTTTTTTCCACTGAATTCTGTTTTCCTTGTGGATGCTAAATAACAGTTGCTGGGTGTGTTATCATTTCCCCAAACAGCCAAGGCTGCAGTAGAAGGGAATGACATTAATTGCAAATGGCATGATTTTATAAGCACCTAAAATAGGTGTCTTTGCTTAAGAGTCTCAGGAAAGAAGTACGCTGCCTGAGGCCTGTAAACCAGCCACACACGCCCCAGGATTGCTATGGATGTGGCCTAACCCATTTACAGATGATGCCGTATCCTTAGTTAGGTCTGCACTCAAAACTTAGTCTCAGTGGTTGCTATGGCTTGGGCCTCTTTGGCTTTAGTCCTCTAGCTGCACTCTAGCCTAAGGTTCTCTAATCTATGGGCTTCAGCCTTTAGCTTCACAACTTAAAGAGGTACTGCCAAGAACAAAGCTAGCCACGATCTTACCAGGTCTATCGTCAGCTGTCTTTACTAAATTCGAAGAAGGGATTTACATGATTTTTAGGATGATGTTTTTAACTTCTATACAATTCTTACTTTTAAATCTGTTTCAATTGATCCCATATTTATCTGCCTTTTATCCCTCCAAATTGGCCAAAAGGATGTTTCAGAATGCTTTTGATTAAAGCAGATTTTATTCCACTTGGCTAATTAACTTAGCAAAGTCATTTTTTAAAGAGTAGACTGTGATCCATTGGTGGGGTATGAAATGAAGTTGTTCAACTGCCTAGGAAAATTAACCGAGTGGGTTGAGACTTGCTTTTCTTCTTTAATGTAACAGGAAAAAAAAATATTGAGAATCCATCACACACAGCATGGTAATTACTGTTTTCTGAAATATTTGTATATATGTACAAATTATGAGAATCCATCACACACAGCATGGTAATTACTGTTTCCTGAAATATCTGTATATATGTACAAATTATTATACTTGGTTAAAAGGTGAAATGCTGCTTCACTGTGGAGTCATCATCAGAAAGATTAAAAACTGAAACTCTAGATGCTTTGTCCTCCCTGGATGAAACAGTGCCCTCTCACCCACCATCACAGACACTACTAACCAACATTTCTACTTACGTGTGCTCTAGTCCAATTCAAGAAGCTTGGCTGTAAGAGCTAAAATGAGGGTATCATCACTCATCTTCACCATGAGAAATCTATAGTCTCTAATAATACTTATGCTCTATTTCCTTGATTTTTACAAATACTACAACTTAATAAACTTACTCTACTTTGGAAAACAGGAAGAACATTACATTAAAGTATAGCCAACAATTAAAAACATTCTGATTTCAAAGAAGAGTAAATGTAAATCTAAACTGGAGGAAATATTTTACCACTCTTACACTGCTCCAAGGAAATCAAGCACAGTAAGGCACACAGGCCCAATGCACTGAATGCTGAAAAATACTCAGAATCAACACAGCTATTTTTAACTCTGGCATAAGACCCAGTGAGCTATGGCATGCTTTTATTCTGCTGATTAAATCATCCCAGTGACATCTGAGAACGTCTCCCTAACTCTCTTCCTGCCATGACCTGAAACAGAATCACCTCCAAAACAACTAAGATCCAAGTCTGACCATCCAATCCAAGATGCTACCCTCGCTCCCACGTTACACCAGGGTATTCAAGTCAGGACCATCCAAATGTCTTCAAAACACTTCCGGTGCACCACATACTGGTTATTTTGAAATAATTTAAAAAAACCAAATGTATCATTACCAATGGTTCTACCAAGGCTTCACTGGTAGAATCATTCTTCAGGGACAGCTTACTAAAAAAAGGCAAGAAGGAAAGACCAAACGGCAACTGTTACAAACAGATAATACAGAGAAAGAGCTTCAGGAAACTGGGAAATAACAGTCACACCTCCAGCACCTGCTCAATCTCTAACTGGCCACTGCTTATTTCCATCCAGGGCGAGGGGCTTGACAGATACACACCTAAAAGCTATAAATGGAGCCTGGAGAGAGACACAAAATGTTGTACCTTTTCTTACACCAAATCTTTTGCAAGCAGCTTATCCTCTAACAGCAACTAACCGAATCTTAATGAGTCTCTGATCTGTTATCCAGATCAATTGAGTCTCGATCTGGGTAACAGCATTTCTGTGACAGAAATACTAAGAGCACTAATTTCTACTGGTGACAAGAGCAATCTCAAAATCTGCACTTTACACATCCACCTGACACAACTGTGAATAGCTAAGTCAACACATGGCAAAGAGTTTCACTCTCAGTTCCCGTTCTGACTCATTGCTAATGACTACCTGAACTAGGCACTGAGAAAGATTCTGAGACGTCCCAGGATCAAAAACCAACACACATAGCAGCCCAGGCAAGTCTGCAGTTGCAAGTGAGACCTGTTTGCCATTTCCAATATGACCACCTCCAAAACCTTTACAACTGTGTCAATTACTCTGAAATTTGGGTAACTATGACATGTACCCCAGTTTAGCAAATACTGTCCTATACAATTCAACAAGGGTTTTATGGTTACTGATTCTCTAACTTTTATTTCTACTCAAAATTATTCAACCAAAGAGCTCTGCAGTCAAACCTCCTGACAGCTCCCTACAAAAGGCCTTCACTACCATGATTTTAATACCATATCCTCAGTTTTATCAAGTATCCACAGAAGACAATCATTTTCTTCAGGTTTGGTGTCTTTCTAAACCACTGCAGAAGCTCTGTTCATTAAGTTACTTGGTGTTCTTTAAATCAGGATCCACTTGATAAAGTCCTTCATGGGCTAGTGCCAGCAAGATTTTTCTCAGGGCTTCCATGCCATGCCGCTTCCATCAGTGAGAAAAGAGCATGACCTCACGCACTTCCTGAACACTTGGGAACTCAAAAGTAAGCACAATGCTCAAATGCTGGACCAAATTCCAAAGTCATCATTTAAACACCTTTTCTTCCCGTTAAAGAGTTTTCGATCTTATAAAATTATATTACTCTGCAAGGCCCACACCAAGTCTTTCTGGGGAAAAGTGCAGTCAAGTCTTGTCCCACAAAGCACCTTGCTAAAGCTTAAGATCCATGAAAACAACCACGCTAAGCAACAATGACTTTCTGGTAACTCTTATGCACCAGTTTACTTGACCACTTTGGGGTTTAGGCACTTCATACTGATGGACTGTTTAAGAAGTCTTCTAAGTGCAGCTGGCCAGGAGGAAAAAAAATGGGGGTTAACAAACATACCACCACAAACTCAGGCAACAGAGGACAAATGCAGTCCTTTCTTTCCCCAGTCACTGCATTCAGCATCCATACATGCCAGGGACACCCCTGGGGAATTTGGGGTCACAACTACTAAAAATGTTAACATAATACCCTATAACACTACAGACTTGGAAGGGTTAACTGGCATACAAGGGCACAGAAGGAAGCTCTGTTGCTTCCTAAATTCCGGTGCAACAGTTACTAGTTAAGCTCTCAAGTTAGCCAGCCTCTATTACCAGGGATCTATGTATCGACAGCCAAGTTACTCTAAGCTTTCTGGACCTTACTTTCCTTGGGCATAAAACGGAGTCTGTTACTTGTATGTATGTGTTTTCAGAGCTGACCATTTGGTAGTGGATAACCAGTTGGTGTGCTCTTCCCTGGAGGAGACTAATTCTCCCCGTCTCAGCATTCTTAATTGCCTGTAGTTCTTTGTGCAGGGCTGAGATCTCATGAGCTTTCCCCTTCCACATCCTCGTCTATCGGTGTCTTCCTCTTCCTTGTTCAGGTCACATTTAGGCATCTAAGCTGATGACGTTTCATGGCTGTTGCTTCTCTGACATTTTTAGTAGACCAGAATCTCATAGCAAATTTCCTGTTCCTCTGGTTCTTACACTCTTTCTCTGCCCTCTTCAGGAGTGACTCCTGAGGCGTAAATGCAGGAATCGTGTTGCAGATGTACACCTAACCCTTTAGAACACATCAGCTATATAGAGCTGAGAGAAAAGGCTCCAGTAGTAACAAAACTCAAAAACAATCAGCTATTCCTATCACCGTGGCTACTACTTATACAATTCCAACGTCTATCATCTTTAATGAGAAGTCTAACACTTTAAACAAGAAGCCAAGCGGGTGGAGAGACAGATGAAGGAGTGCTTGAGGGCAAACACGATGACCAGGCAGACCCCAGCAGCCATATGGAAGTCGGCCATGGTCCCGCGCATCCTGGAACCCCAGCTCCAAGGAGACAAGACGTTCACTAGGGCTTGTGAACCCTTGTGGGTTGTTCCTGGTTCAGCAGGAGAAAGAACACAGTGGGGAGTGATGGAGGAAATACCTAACACCATCTTCTGGCCTCTAAATGCATACGCATACACGTGTACACACACACACACACACACACACACACACACACACAGTCTAACCTTTCATCTTTCTCCTTCCGAGACATCTTTCTATTATCAGCTTCAGAAAGTTTTCGGGTCACTTCTTTGGAAACAGCATCCTCCCTCTTCTGTGCTACTCTGAAAGAAAACACAAAAAGAAAAAGGTTTCCACGTGCTCTAGAGATGAAAATCAGTCTTGCAAAACACTCTGTACTCATATTTTATATTGGCAACTAAATGACACTTTACATTTCAAGAAAGTCAACTGGACACAAAGTTCCAAATTTATTACATTGTACAAGCCTAAGAGAAGTTCAAGAAACTCTCAAGATACGGTTTCTTAGTCATGGGATTTGATTTCTGCTTGTATTTAATATGGGTATAAAAGCCAAATGAAATGCTACTAGCACAACTCTCTAGGAATCATTGTGATTACATTTTATTTCCTAAAGTTCACAGGGGATATTTTATTACTGATGTGATCCAATCTTGATTTAATACATGAAGGAAAATAACTATAGTATCTGAAAGCTATGCTTATAACTCCATTCCAAAGGATAATTTTATTTAAAAGAAGTAATAGAGTATGGTCAGAGCCCACTGCTTTGAGTTAACACTGAGTCAGACAGAAGAGTTTGATCAAGAAGTCAGATCAGAATCTCCAGATCTTAGTTGGGGGGATGTGGGAGTTGCTACAGCTGGACATGATAGCAAATGCCTGTAATCCCAGTGCTTGGGAAGTGGAAGCACAAGGTTCAGGAGTTCAAGGCCAGCCTCAGCTACATGGTATCTTGTCTCAAAAAAGTATACAAAGATCAAGCCCGGCAGTGGTGGTGCATGCCTTTAATCCCAGCACTTGGGAGGTGGAGGCAGGCGGATCTCAGTGAGTTTGAGGCCAGCCTGGTCTACAAAGGACCAGGCACCAAAACAACACAGAGAAACCCTGTCTCAGAAAACAAAACAAAACAAAAAAAGGATACAGATCAAAACAATAACAAAAATCTACAGATGAATTTTATCAGGTAGGGTTATTAGTAAAGTGGTATATTTAAATAATAAAATATAAAGAGCCACCCATAGACTAAGACACTTATATTCAACATAGTGCATTTTTTACAGAATGAGAGCTACAGTTAGCCCTACAGAAGAGAAAGTAGTAATGACAACACACAAACTTCCAGAGTAGCTAGCAGCCCAACAGTGCTCCCACTATGAAAGTATTCAACATGGCATCTCAACAGGATAGAGCAGAGACAGAAGCCTGTTCACTGTGTTCAAGGCCTCAGATTTACATTAGCACACTATATTAGTTCTGGTCAGTAGACCAAGGAAAACTGGAGAAATTGGGATGGACTCCAAGAGAACACCCAAGATCATTCACTCAACACAAGTGCCTCTAGAATCTAGAGTCTAGATGCAACGTGAGCACAGACTATAGCTGACTTTCCCATGCCTCCATCTCTAGCTTTCACTCAAGAGCAAAGTTAGAACTAACACTGATAAAAAGTAAACTTCAACTAATATATGTTTTTAAAGGGTCGTGGTTACTTTCTAACTTTATAATCCCAAATTGGTAACCCAAGGGAGGTAAAGCTAAGAAAAATAGATGAGTTAAGGGGTCGGATGTTTAGAATCCTCTAGGGTACATTTTTATTCCAAAGATCCAAGCTCATATGACTTTATTATATATATAAAAAAAAAAATCACCCCTTTGGGTGTTTCTTTCATTCCTGAGAAGCTGGGTTCTTAAGACTCCTCTCTCAGCCAGCCTCTCTAGCAAACAAAGAACTATTTCCAGAACTTAACTTCAGGCCCTTTTTCTCTATAGAAAGCCTCCAAAGAGATGGGAGTGGACAAAAGGTCCATAGCTGAACATCAAAACACACATACACATACTCTTAGGGTCAGGACTCAAAAACATAAGTCTTCAAAAGAATTACTTACCCATAAGCTCCTCTATGGACTATATGCAGAACAAATCTACCTGAAAGACCTCAACCAGATAACCAACTTCTCTTCTAGTAGTCTATTATTTACCAACTAGAGACTCAACCACCACCAGGTTCACTCAAAAAAGAGGTCCTCTCCAGTATCAGATGTCTTAAGTCTGCTGGAGAATAAATCTCACTCAGTCAGTTTCTAACAAGACAAGCCACTCCAGGGGCCCAGGACACTATCAACTGAGATAGCTCATGGGAACTATTTTTTGTGATCCTATTTCACCTCCCCGGCTTCTTTGTTACTGTTAAAATCCTTATCTTACTCCTCTGGAGTCAAAAATATACAGGAAAAACATACAGCCCAAGACAGCACACTTAGAGTAGCAGAGCAGACACTGGACTCCAGACTTGTTGGCTCTGGAGCTATCTTCTGTCACCACAGGCTACAGGCATTCCCGCTCTCACTGCGTCTGTAAGCCTCATGCAGCATGGAAACCTACGCTGCTTTACTTTAGGACTACTGTGGGGAGGGGCAGGTCGAGGCCAGAGGACAGCTCGTGGGACTTTTCTCTCATCCATTGTGGGTTCTGGTAAACAAATTCGGGTCACTGGCTTGCATGGTAAGTTCTTCTACCCACTGAGCCATCTCACCGGCCCGAAATCTATAGTTTCTCTGTCAGCGACAATACTTACTACCTCAAAACTACGACTAAAGGAAATTCTACTTAGGAGTATACTGAAATTTTACTAAACTGTATCAATAACCGTTCTAAGAGATATAAAGTAAAAGATATAGCAGTTGCCCTCAAGAAGCCTAGAGTAGCACTCAGGTAAAAAGAACAATTTGATCCCAAAGAAGTACATAAACAGTTAGTGGTATTCAAAATTAGTAACAAATCTCAACACCAAAGGAACTGAGCTACGAGGGATTATAAAGGACAGTCATGCAAGATTCTATTTCTGATGGATTCTATATTCATAGACATCCATGTCCCATAAGAACACAGTCTGGAGAGAAGAGGATGAAATGAGCCGAATCTTGAAACGGCAGGTGACAAAGAGACTGTCAGACAGGAGGATGACAGAGATGAGCCGATCAGGCTGCTGGTCCAGCAGAACTGCAATCGTGAAGCCAACAAGCCTTTGTGTGCTCAGAAAGACAGCAGCTGCTCAGGCCACTGCTGGCCCATCTCTTAAATAAAACTATGGTGGTATTTTATTTGTACTGAAATGTGATTTTAATTGTATGTTAATAAATAAAGTTGCCCGGGCGTCAGAGCTATTAGAGCCATAGCAAGAGCGTGGCGGTGGTGGCGCACGCCTTTAATCACAGCACTTGGTAGACAGAGCTAGGTAGATCTCTGTGTGTTCAAGGATACAGCCAGCATTGGAGACACACGCCTTTAATCTCAATCCCAACCATAGAAGACCTGGAAGTCTCTACAGACAGGCAGTGACGAGGCAGTCATGTGTTTGGGTTTACAACCAATGAGAAGGCAGAACAGAAAGACTATAAAGACAAACACACAGGAAGTAGCTCCTTTTCGGAGAGCTCTCTTGACTGAAGCAGGAAGGGTAAGGCTCTTAGTTCTGACCTCTTGGCTTTCTTCTCTGAATCGGCTCTGTGTTTCTTATTTAATAAGACGGTTGGTTACATCTACATAAAACCCTGTTAACTAAGATCATAATATACTATTAATTCCTTGTCAACTGAAAGAGCCTACTATGAAGACAACAAAACAAAGAAATGATCAAAATCAGGTAAGATTCTCTGGAAAGGTTTTATGAGTCTTGAAATAATAGACATTTAGGAACAGAAAACGGGGGTCATGAATGGAAATGGGCACAAGACACAATTAAAGGCTGACAAGAAGGCTAAGCCTAACTCTGAAGGGTGAGGCTTCAGAGGAAGGAAGCAGATGACTCTGATTCTAAGAAGCTGAAAGGATTTTTGGTGTTACTGAATTAGAAAAAAAAAAGACCATGATGTGTTTAAAATAGTTAAAAAAAAAAATGACAGATAAAGAGGAATGTATCACTTCTCAGTCTTTTCACTAAAATATGTGATCTTTTAAAAATTATTATTATTACTATTACTATTATTATTTTGCCTGCACATATGTCTGTGCACCAGACATGCCTGGTGCCCACAGAGGCCAGAAGGCAGCAGAATCCCTAGAACTGCAGTTATAAACAGTTGTGAGCCACCACGTGAGTGCTGGAAATTGAAACTGAGTCCTCTGGAAAAGCAGCCAATACATTTAACCACTGAGCATCTCTCCAGTCCCTCATATGTATGTGTAATTTTATCCAATAAAATACGGATGATGTAAAGAAAAAGTACCATCAAATTGCTTTATACGGTCCCTGTCGGAGTAGGCCCTATGTTTTTGTTTCAGAGACCAGATGGAGACTGCTGTATCAGTCCAAACAGAAAATTTCTAATCAAGTGTGGATACTATGGGAAATTTTTTTTAAAAAGATGAAATACATAGCATGTTTAAGCTCAGAATCTCTACTGCCTTTAAAAAATTACTTTAGAAGCTGGAGAGATGGCTCAAGCAAATTAAGAGCACATATTGCTCTTGCAGAGGACCTGGGTTCAGTTCCCAGCACCCATGTCAGGTGGCTCAGAACTATGTGTAATTCAAGCTCCAGGGGATCTAACACTCTTTTCTGGCCCCCGCAGGCAAGGGTGCACTCGTGCATACAAACACAAACACACACACACACACACACACACTTCAAAATAAAAAGTAAATTTTAAAAAAAATTGCTTAAAAAAAAAGCCAAATCCAAAAGGTGCTATTGAATAAACCAGAGAATATCCTGCTACCCCAAAAGTGTATATGAAAGTAATTCTAGAGAACATCTTTTCAAATTAAATATTAATTCATACTCTGCTTCCCAAGAGGACCACAGCACTCTGAAATAATAAATTACAACTAGTATGGTTGCTCATACCTATAATCCCAACACCACTCACAAGATCAGCCTGGGCTACAATAAATATTGCAATCATTCCTAAGTCTACACTCTCCTGTTTACTCTTGAGGAAAGCAGAGTATCCATGTGCTTATTACATAAAATTTACTGAGGTAAAACTTGGGTTTTCTTCTCCAAAAGCTATTAAAATAATTTGTCTTATAATATCTGTGATTTCGAAATCCAAGAAATATTGTTACCTTCTATAGTGAATACACTTACGAGACAACAAAAATGTAAATGGCATTGAAAATGTCAGAGAATCTTCTTTTTTAAAGTTGCTTCCAAAATTAGTAAATAGAGAGCCCAGAACAATTTCTAGAAAGAACTCCATTGAGTTTCTTCTAATATTAATTCATTTGGTAGATTTGCTTTTCTGATGAAACCAGCGATGACAAACTAGTGCTTAAATATTCCAATTCCACTCCCGACATCTATTTCCACCAAAGTGTGAGATGGCTCAAGGGGTTATCAATTCCCCAGGTATCAATATGCCTTATTCCCAAAATAGAGACACACACACACACGTTTCAAACTGATGCTGTGTTATAATTGTAAAGCATCTTTAAGAAGACACTCTACCATAAAATATGCAGTCTATTCACAGGGACTCTTGAAAAATGTACTTACTTGTGCTTGAGGACAAATTTTACATTCTTGTATGCAAAGGCTACCAAGTAAGTGCTCACTAACGTCATCACACTGTAGAGAACAGCAGACTGGATGAGATCCATATGCCATATGCGCCAGTACAACCCTGAGTTCAGACAAAAGGAAGAGAGGGACACAAATGGGAACAAACATTACCACCCCATGACACAAGCCTGCCAGGTCAATTACAGCTAAACCAGGTAAAAGAGTTAGTAAATCCCACCCAAACTGGGGAACTTCACTAAAGTGAGATATCCAATAAACATGGTTAGTCTCAGTTCAGGGCTTTCCCAGTCCATGAAGTTGGGTTGTGGGGGTATGACTGTCTAGAGATTTCTTCTAACTTGAGAAAAAAATGGAAATAAAAAAAAAAAGCCACAAATAAGAATTCAAATTTCATTCACGGGGTACTAGTATACTATTTGATATAAAATGCCTAATACAGGCCATTTTTATCCAATGCTGTCCAATAACACTGGTTTACTTGCTGACGTGGCTGCTCTCTGAAATCAAAGCAAAGCTTTGTCCGGCCAGTGAAACAGGGGGCTCTACACCACATTCGCTGCACGCTGAGTTTTTACAAGGGCGTACATAATAAAATACGTTTGGATGTGACTGGCCTGCAACAGTGTGGCAGTGTGGGCCAAGAGACAGAAACTCGGAAGACCTGAGCTCGAACACCGCCTTGGCCTGCCTGGTCTGCAGTTTCCCATTCAAACGAAAAGTCTAGAGTTGCTCTCGCAGGGTTATTAAAATCCTAAACAAGGCTGATCGCTGACCTCTGACTTCTGGCCCTGGCCTAACTTCTGTCATTCTGCAAATCCAAAGGATGCTCAGGGGTGAGGGGAGGTTCGCCACCGGTCACGCTGCTAATGCAGTGCGGGATATCGGTGGGTCTCTCATCTGGTTCACTGAACACCTCATAGTGTCAAACAACAGTTGTGAGAACAGGTGGCGACATGTGTGTACCAATCAGAGAATCCGGGCCAGGACCCGCGCCCGGCTCAAACGCACGCCACAAATGATTCCCGGGGACGCCGCCCCCGACCCTCGACCGCCCGCCTCCCCGCCGCCTCTGGCCTCCCCACCGCGCCCGCCACGTCCCCGCCGCCGCCCGCCCGCAGCTCACAGATGGGGATGGCAGACACGATGAACGCGTTCCCGAAGAACAGCGCCGACGACTTGGCCGACAGGTTGCGGCTGAAATCCTGAAGGAGCAGGTCCTCCTCGGACTGCTGCTTGGAGCCGCCTTTGGGGGCCATGGCGGAGCTGAAAGTCGGAGGCCCGGAGCAGGAAAACCCAGAGAGCACCGATAGCCGCGTGTCCGCCCGAGCCGCGTATCCGCCCGCGACCCGTCAGCGTAACGCCGAGGCGGGACTCCGCAGGGCACGCTGCGTCGGGATTGGCCACCCTGCCGCAGCTGCACAAGCCTCGAGGTACAATTGGGCATGCAAACAAGACTTCCGCATTTCTTAAGGCACGTGACGCTACAGCGCCGCAAGGAATGGAGGGATTTGTAGTTTAGTGTATGTACTTGGCACTCAAGGTAGCTCAAGCTGGTCTCCGATTTGCTTGCCACATTCTCCAAAGAGCTTGCATAGCTGACTTGAACCACCACACAAGCAGTACTCTGTTTTAACTAACGAGCTTTACTGGTACTTCATTTCATATGCGTACTTGTTAATTCTTGTTTTTAAATTTATTACATTGATTGATTGATTCATTCATTCATTCATTCACTCATTGCTTAGAGGGCCGTGACACAATGTAAGTGTAGAAGACAACATGAGCAAGTCAGTTCTCTCCTTCCACTTTCTGGGTCCCAGAGATTGAACCAAATTGTCAGGTTTGCACCTTTACCCTCTGAGCCATCTCCACGGCTTGAGGTATACTTTTAATTTTTCTACTTTATTATTATTATTTTAATTAGCAAAACCACTTAGCCCCTGACAGACTCTCTTATTTCAGTCTTCAGAAACCCGGAAGTAAAGAGCCCTTGTCGGCACTGTTGGTTTTTACGGCGCTCTTACCCTGCGAGGAAACATCACGAAACACGACAGAATCTACTAACAAGAGTTTTATTAAGATAAGGGAGAGGGACAGATATGCACAGGCCTGCGAAAAGATACATGTGTGAAGGGGACCGGGGAATCATGACACCCACTAATAAAGGCTGGGCCCGCCCCCACCCATGTGGCTATTCCACACTTGTGTGTAGATCACATGGTTGCGTAAAGCCACAGGGTCCTGGGTCACACAAGACGTTTGACCTGGAAATGACTGGGCAGAAATGACTAGGTGTCCCACAGGGTCATGGGTCACGCAGGACGTTTTGACCCGGAAATGACTAGGCAGAAGTGAGTAGGTCACACAGGGCATGGGCGACCATGCCCAACCATGGGGGTGTGTTGGGAATTTATATCAGGCACAGGACATGCATTCGGTAATTTGGTGAACATGTGGACATATGGTTAACACTGAACATTGGAGGAAGAAGTTATGTCTAACAATTGTACACATCCATTATTCCATTATCATGTAGCACAGGTTGACCTCAAACTCATTATGTAATGGAAGATGATCTTGGACTTCTGATCCTTTTGCCTCCAGGAGCTTCCTTGTCCAATGTGCCTGGTTTTATAGCAGGTCCTTGGAACTGAACTCAGGGCGTCTTGCATGTTAAACAAGCACTCTATCAGGTGAGCTATATCCCTAGCCCCTCGTCACACACTTAGACTCCTTGGACATGCACATCATGGTGCCCATTGCAGACAGAGAGCCTGGAGGTGAGAGACAGGCCCTAGTCTCCTGGGCACGAGCTCTATTCACCCCCCCCCCCCCCAAAAAAAATAGGCCTATGGAAGTCACCATAATCATGAATTCTTCATGATGAAGGAATGATCTTCAAATGATGATAATATTCAAGGCCTGTCTCATGATTTTACAGATCTCTACTATTGTGTTTCTTTTCCTTTCACCTTAAGCCTTTTTAGAGTACCATGGCTTCTAACAATATTCTAAATCAAACTGGAGGCAACCTTTGGCAAGACTCCTCTGAAGCTCAGAAAGACTGTGTTAACACAGATGGTATTTCACCTGACCAGCTAATCACTTTTTCTTTAAAAAAAAAAGACATAGACAACCACATCACTTCCCAGCGAATGCTTCTCTTTACTACACAGCTGCAAACATTCCCGCACACTGGGCAAAGTTCCCTCCACCTCCAGCTTCCCTCCCGGCAGAGTGCATATACCTTTTTCCCTTTGCTTTGTCCAAACGGCAGCGGGCCTGCGGCGCCACGATCCTCCCGAGCTTTCGTCTTCAGTCCTTGTTGAAGACTGTTTTCTGCACAGGTTCCACAGTGAGTTCTTCCGGAAATGCAAGTCCGTCTGTTATCAACAGTGAGTATCCTCCACTTCACCACAAGAGAAGTCTTAAGCTGATACCACCCAGGGATCTACCCAGGGGTGAGGAAGTACCTGACATCCCAAACATTTCAACCGTTAGATAAGGTGGCCAGATGTCCTTGAATCTAGCACACACCTATTTTTGTTTTACAGATACCCCTAGACAATTGTCAGCCAATCAGTGTCCTGGACCCTGGAAATCCCTTCACCCCAACCTCTGCTATGATAAAAACTCTGCCCCACATGAGTTCAGGGCTCTCTGCTCTCAGCGCTGTGTCAGACAGACAGAGGGACCAAGCTCTGGAGCTTGAAATAAAGGCTCTTTGCTTTTACATGCGGAATTCGGTCTCCATGGTGGTCTTTTGGGGGTCCCCGCAATCTGGTCATAACAATACCAACTGCACAGGAGGGCTAGAGTGATGCTCTGGTACCTGAATTACATTTTTCTTTTTAAATCATCATGATCTAAGGACTTGGCCATATATTCATGATACAATGGACAAACAGGACACAGAAGAGGCCAACGGATTCCGTCCAGGAAAGGTCTGACACAGACTTTATTTCAAGGTAACTCCTCTGTATGAAGGAACCAAATGGACTTGATGCTGTGCCAGTCTGGCTCTAATATCTGGATCTCAGGTTTTATATTTCCCTCAGATCCCTTTAAAATTATCAGACTGGTGAAAAATTTTAAGCAATAATACTTGCTACTCTTGCAAATAGGGATAGTAGATTTCTCTCCCCCATTACTGATAAATGCATGTAAGAAAGTCTGTCACGTTAGTAGTAAGTACATTTTTGCTAAGGCAGAAATACTGCAAGTTTCCTAGCCAGTAGAGAAATCTAGCACTGTTTTTTTCACTGAGTTTTGTAAAGAATAACAAATGAATTATCCAGGGCTACACTGGGGAGGGGTATGGTGATATTTTATTTGTACTGAAATGTGGTTTTATTTGTATGTTAATAAATAAAGTTGCCTGGGGATCAGAGCTAAGAGCAAGCCATTAAGCAGAAGTCTGGTAGTGGTAGCATGCGCCCTTAATCTGATCACATGGCAGGCAGTCTCTGTGTGTTCAAGGACACAGCCAGCATGGTGACACATGCCTTTAATCCCAGTACCAACCATAGAGACCTGGAGGTCTGTATTGACAGGCAGTGATGAGGAAGTCATGTGGTTGGGTTTAGAACCAATGAGAAGGCAGAACAGAAAGGCAATAAAAAGACAGGACACAGGAAGAAGGTCTCTCTCTCAGGGAAAGGATGGCAGCGAGTGGTAGGATAAGGTGGTCTTAGCTCTTGGCTACTGCTCGATCTCTGGGCTTTTAACTCTTTATTTGGCTCTGTGTTTCTTATTTAATAAGACCATTTAGAATTACATCTACAAAGGGGGAAAATGCTCTTCTGCTTTAAAGACGATCTGAAATGTAAGTATCATTATGGAATATTTTTGAAAGAAGATGGGATACTTACATTCATTTTTAATGTTTTCACTTATCACCTGGGAAATTATTTACTTAGCCAAATTACCTTTTTCAAGCACTGATGTATGATTAATCCATTTGTTAATATATTCATTCAGCAAATATTAATTGAGAAGCTACAATATAAAAGGTACTGCAAGTAAGCAAATACCATAATTATGATGATTATGATGACCAACCTCTACTGAGTCCTTGTTATACATCTAACTCTATGCTAGCTCTTTCACATACATGGTCTACCGTTACCTTTGCAGCAGCCCTGTGAAGTAGGTATGTGTTGTTAACTGCATTCACCAGATGAAGAAAGTGAGCATAGATAACTCACCTAAGATCCCACAGCTAGCAAGTGGCAGACCGAGTTACAAACCCAGGAAACCCAACTCCAGTATGCATATTGATAACTACAGATGAATTCTGGCATCTTTTATATCAGTGGGATCTCTAATTCCAGATACCACCTGCCCCCAGGAGCCCAGTTTTGAGCCAGCAGCCCCAGACAGTTTCTCGTACCCTAATTACCATGCAGAGTCAAAGTCACACTGCAACTCTGAATGTTCATCTTCATACAGGGAGACTTGTGCCCAGCCGTTAGGCAAACATAGGTGAGCAGGCTGGGCTCTTCCACGCTAGATTCTCTGTCTCAGTAAATTTGTAAATAATACCCCAGAAAGAGACAGTTCAGGGAGAAACACAGAAGCAGGGAAGCAAAATGAGAAGAAGGGTAAAATAAAAACTGTCACTCCCCAGCAATCATAAATGGAAGGCGGGATTCTCAACCCCCAGGGCTTCCTCGTTTCTCTCTGTAGGCCTAAGAGAGACCCCTGTCACTTGCAATGAATCAAACCACTCATCTCAAAAGTGAAAACAAATTGTATTGGAAAAGCATCAGCATGAGTAACATAAACAGGTTTCACATATAAATGGCGACATAGACGACGACGACTGTGCTCAGCACAGTTTTTCAATTTATATGTTGCCTCCCTGAAAATAAGGTAACATGATCAAATACCTACAAGATCCAAATGCATAACCTCAGGGAGGTGATCATAGACTATGAAACAGTGATGTAGTCAGTACAACTAAAAAGCTTGCCCTTCCAAACGGCATTCAAAGTGAGGTAAACAGACTAAAAGCATAAACCAATAGAATAAATAGGAAATCCTTTGTAGGCCAAATGTCACAGGTTTCAGGGTTACTTCTACCTCATGAAACTCTGAGACTGAAGGAGACTTTAGAAAGGTAGAGGGGAAAAAACCAAGACATAATGAGAAAGCTAAGCACAACAGAAAGAAACATGTCTTTTTCGTGGATAATGCATGCTAGGAAATGTTAGTTCTTGTCTTTATCAGGCCCCATCCTCTTACTCAATACACAGAGGTGGTTGTTGTTGTTGTTGTTGTTGTTTTGTTAAAACAAGGTCTGAAGACTTCTAAACTGCTCAATTTACTGTGGAATTGATTTTTTAAAC